CCATTCAGCGCTTCATCTAAATAATAATTTTATTTACGATTTAATTGACTCCCACGGCTTGAGACAGTTTCAAGGCTCGCGTGGATCTCTTCATAACAACGCGTGACACACTTTCGGCTTTCACTGAAATTTCTTCCGTTTTCTCTTCAGAATTTTGTCGCCAACCGTGAGCGCGACGCAGCTATGGACGCGGGGTTATTCAAGCTGATTACGTAACGGAGAAAGGGGCGCCAAACATTGGCGGATCCAGCAAATTGGCAACATTGTTCTTCGCCATTTGGACGTGTTTCTACCAAACGGAACTATGGGCATGAGCCCTGGCATGAGCCCTGAGACCCTTTAAAATATATGCATAACAGGGCTCAGGCTCACGGCATAATGCACATAGTTCCGTTTGGCAGAAATACTTCCATTTAAACCTATGGAAGTGTATCGATTCTTGGAGGGGCCAGGTGCTCTGAAAAGAATCGATTATTTAAAATAGGTTTAAGCGGAGGGAACCCAAAGTTGCCAAATTGCTGGATCCGCCTCTGGCGCCATATCATCGCACCTCTAACGTCAGGGCGTACTTCGATTTACACAGGACTGCCGTGATAGCGAAGAGAGCAGTCACTGCAAAAATGAAGTTTTGAGAAGACAGACTCAGAAGCGTAAGGGCGGAAATTTTATTGAAAGAAGCCTCCGTTCTTTGTCAAATTGCCACAAATCGTCCGAGAGACTCCTAGAAATCGTTTGGATGCTTAAAAATCGACAGATTTTATTTCAATTACATAAAAAGGGTATTTTTCATTTTCATGCTAGGCATACTGTTAGGCAAGACCGCCATAAGTGCTATCTTCTGCATGCTTTTGTGGTTGTGTTTTGGACACACAACAAACACATTTTCAAGTTAGAATTTGGCAGAGTTGGCGGCACTTTACTTGGAAGCACTGTTTTCATTGGCTCTCTGGAGGAATATTGTCACTTACTGCTGTCTTGCCTGAAACCACGTCATTTTTGCGCACTTGCGGCATTCTCATACGTCTCGTTTTTATACAATTGAGATGAATTTGGCTGTTTTAGCTATTTCAGTGATTTCATTTAAAAGTGATTAAACGAATTTTGAAGGAAACTCGAAAAAAACACTTTGACACTTACTGCTCTCTTCGCTATTACGGCAGAGCTATAGACGAAGGGTTATTCACGCTGATTACGTAACGGCGAAAGGGGGCCATATCGTCCCCCATCTGACGTCAGAGCGTATTTCAATTTACACATGAGCCCTAATACCCATATAACTCTTTGCTTTCCGGGGCCCATATGGAAATAGAAATACGCCTTTACGTCAGAGGAGCGACGATTTATCACAGGGTGCGATGTGCCAGCGATGATATTTTGTTTCCTGTTTGTCTTAGGATGACACACTAAGAGACTTCGAATAAAGGTATTGGGTTGGTCACGCACCACAAATAGAAGTTATTTTGGAAGCATGGAGGGAGTTGTTGTTATGAGTTTATTTTGTTATGGCATATTTTTCCGGCGACTGAGATTTTTTTCTTTTTCTTTTCTTTCATTTTTTATCCATAATTTTAAGTTACTCATGGTAACTGATGCTCTAATCGTTTCCCTCATATTGCCGCAATTTGTGACTAACATACATACGAAAATAAGCGAAAAGTTAAGATTCTCCTTCAATTTCGCGTGATACTATATGCTCACTCCGGAGTTCGAATAGTTGCTCGCTTGCTTTCCGAGTGTGAAAAAGCGAGATGTTACTCGAGAAATACGCAGGATAGTCTCATATGATAAAGAAGATGAGCACTATATTGCTTATTTCTGTCTCTGGATCGGACAACAAAGGGAAGTCAGAGGCATTATACCTAGGGATATATTCATCGTAAAAAGGAGTATTAAGTGAGAATAAGTTCAGAATATTCCTACTATACCCAAGAATGTACCTCGGATATACCTAAAGTTATTCTACGTAGAAAATTGAGGATATTTAGAAAACCGCAAAATATCCGCCAGATATCCTGTTCCTGAAATTCATAACATTTAAAAAGAACCCCCCCCCCCAATCCCACGACCCCATGCTATCTCCTAAGAATTGTCTTGCTTTCACTTACTCTTACTTTTTTTTAATTAAAGTGAATTCAGGAATTTAAAAAGATTTTATGACCTGGACTATTCATGTACTAATCTGTACATAAGTTCATACGATGTTAGCGCACCCTATAAACTTTGAAAGTTATCAGAATTGATATTGAAATTTTTATTGGTACATCTGGGGCTAAGAGACGCCTAATAACAACAATACCTCGATTTGATTTTGTCACCCCCTCGCGTCTCACGCCGTTTTTTCCGTCAGTTATTTTTCAAACCAAAATGTTTCCGTGCCCTGCTCTGCGACTTTTTAGCTATAATAACTACCTCAAAACGGAACAAATACATATTTACACCAAAGTCAGAAAGTGCGGATGTTAGCGTCCGGTTTGTGGTTTATGTAATTGGGGCCTAATTTCTCTCTATTCTCAGCCTTGCGCGACCCCTCCCCGCAACCCTTCGTACATGGAACCTCATCAGTGTACTTGACACATACTGCCGCATCAGCAGAAATGGACCGCGTTAATAAGCAGAGAGGAACCAAGCCACATCAGCGATTGCCAAATTTAATTGGGCAATTTGATTTTTTACATAAAAACAGTTATGCGGATTCTTGTGCAGGTTTCAATGAGTTTTGTACATAGTACGAAGCAAATTCCTCACAATTTTCAAAGAAATTCGCACCGACATTTTCTTGTAAAAATTAAATTACCCAGTTAAAATTGGCAATAGCTGGTGTGGCTTGTTTGTTTTCTGCTGAACGCGGTCCAAATATCGTCCACAACGCGCTTGAAGTCAGCAAAACAACACAGGAAATGTGTCATTCGATAGTAATTTTTCTAGTTTTACGAAGCTCTTCCAAATTTCTTCCAAATTTTTCCTGTACAGTTTTGTTGTTAGACAAAATGTTTCTACGGATCTACCCTTTGACATTTTAAAACCACCTGGTGCGACACACACTCACACTGGTTTAATAGATCGTATTCGATACATCAAACGGGTGAGATTGTATCGATATCGATTGGTTCAAAACATAAACATAGCCTCAAAAGTAAATTCAGAAATCTGAGAGAACGGATCTTTTGAAACAGATTTTTTATACATTTGAGTACCAAATGCCAATGCAAAGTGAAATTGTCAGGAAATTTCTCATTTTCAGCTTTTCCAATTAAAATCCTTAGAGTTTGGTTTGAGGTTATGTTCTATTGTTTTGAACCAAACGATACATCGAACCGTTATCGAATACGGTCTATATATTCGTGAAAAATATTAACAAATTTCAAATTTTGAGTCGGTGTGACCTTTAAAATGTTTAAAATTCCAAAACATGAAATTTCACATTCCATCTCTCTAACAGTTTCACTCTAAGTGTCCGTCATCCCCGGTGGAAACATTGACGGAAGCAATCACCAGCTAAACCTGAGTCCAAAAAGTGCGAACTGTTCGTGACAGGCCCGGAAAGATGAGACTCGGCGTCTATAAATACGACCGCCGACGCCGCCGCGAGGGGGCCCATCGATGCCATGGCTTCCCAAAAAAAAGGAAAATCCCCCGAGCGGGCCCTTGAAAACTAGGAAAATAAAAGTAGAAAATTTTCTAGCCCAATTTGATCGTAGTTATTACGTCGCTCGCTCCGCAGTGTTGCCGGTTGGGGTGTTCCAAAGAGCATTATTTACTTCTTCCCACTCTCAAGAACAGAGATGGAGAGTGATATCTCAAGGAGGACGAGTGAATTTCACAAAATTTGAAATTTTTTAATTTTTTCCAGGATTTGTATAAAACTGAGGAAACGTTTGTTTAGGAACCGTGTTTTTTTCCGTGATGAGAATATTTTTACCCCTCCAACGTCGACAAGTGAGAATTTTTGGTTAAATTTGGCAACGACGGATACAATTTAACCGGGATATGACGGGACTTAAGATTCTCTATCTACTCAAACAAACCGCATTATTTATATCTTGTTTGACCGATTAGAACTTATGGGTTGAATGAGTTTCGAATAAAAAAAAAGAAACAGTCACTTTAACGGGAATGATTCCGAAAACATTGCCGGAATCGGAGCCAGGAAGTAAATCTTGCGTTACGTATTTGGACGTATTTCTGTCAATCGTAACTATGTGCATTATGACGTGAGCCCTGTCATACATGTATTCTTATGGATCTCAGGGCTCATATCTAAATGCACATAGTTCCGTTTGGCAAAAATACGTCCATTTAATATATCTACGGCTAAATAGGGAGATCATGTATCACCGTTTGCGACGTAGTACCTATACACTATCTTTTCCTTAGCAAACTAGCCAGCGTAATTTCTTGAACGCTCATTTTTCTGCTCTGTTAGTAGAATCTTCTGTATTTGCAAGCTATAAAGTTAACTTTTTCCTCTTCGAAAAAATAAACTAGGAGCGGAGGTTTTGTAACACCGCAATGGACATACGCGGTGTCGCACTTTAGCGATTTGCAAGCGGCTGGCGGCTTCTTAGCAAAGGCGGATCCAGCAATTTGGCAACATTGGATTTCCTCCATTTAAACCAATGTTGAATAATCGATTCTTGTCGGAGCATCTAGCCCCTCCAAGAATCGATACATTTCCATAGGTTTAAATGGGGAAAAACAATGTTGCCAATTGGCTAGATCCGCGAATGCCTCTGAGCTCTCGGCAAGAGCAAAGGGCCTTGACTCCACAAGGTATACTTGGGCTACATCTCGCAATTCGGAAGTACTATTTCGGGTTCATCCATAAAAGCACCTATCTGCATAGAGAATCTCGTGGCACACATGCTGTTCCTGAAAAGAACGGATAACAGTAGTTCCTTACGGCAAAACGCTGTCCATTTATCCGTTACGGAAATCCAAAAATGTTCTACGTGTATCCGACCGACTTCAGAAAGAGCAAAACATTGGAGTGCGCTTTACTAGGGCGGTATGCAGCGATTCACATGCATGCCCCAATTGCCTTCGACGTTCATCATCGCAGAGCCAAGGCAGGGGCACCGCGAATAGAAACGTGATTGCGTTGACGCATCAGTCTCCGCGAGTCAATCTGTCACGTAGTTGAAATAATCCTCCCCTAATCCCCCCGGAAGTGAAATCCACGGTCCCCGGTGACCGACGTCTTTTTGCTCCTCTAACGTGTTCCTGAACTCATCGCCGTCTTCATCTTAGCATCCCTCGCGTGGATCATACAGAAATCTCGTTTTCCAAAATCGAGAAGAAGTAAAAGCCGTTTCCGACTTGGTTGTAGCAATTTTAGTGCGCGAGTGGTCTGCTAGTTTGGTGCGGATCCCCTAAGTGCATATATATATAATCTATTAGGAGTCTAAGCTGTGAAACAGTAGTCAAATGGAAGGATATCGAGGAAAGTCCGACGATTCGGTGCAAGATCTCCCCCCTCCTAAAATATCCGTCCTGGAGAAATACCGCGACCGGTTCGAGAATCGACGTGACAGTTATCGAGAGTGGTCTGAGGAATCGGACGAAGCTCCCCCTCCCCCCAGGAAATCCGTCCTGGATAAATACAAAGATTGGTCTTTAGATGAAGAAGAGTAAGTAACAACATTTTGAACCGGAAAAAAGTTTATGCACGTCTTGTTGCAGTCATACCCGGTTCTGAACCTCTGTGCTTGCGAGTGGCACAAGACTTGGAGCCATTTTGTTGGCGCGTGTGTGGGGGGCCTGGGGAGACACCTCCCAGTAAGAGGGGGGTCCGAAGGACCTTCTCCGGAAAATTTTGAAAGCTGAATCTCTCATGGACGCTACTTTGACATGTTTTAACCTTGAATATCGTACTATTTGGGAGACAAATTTCACGATTTTTATCGGGGTTTTCTATGTTTGTGGGTTCACGTGGACTCGCGTAGAACTGCCTATGGTTGCAGTATACCCATACAGCCATAGGCTAAAATTAAGAACAGAGGTAGAGTTCCCATTAGAACAGAATTAAGAAAAAAAAACTGTCACTTATCTTGGGAGTGTCGGCAAGAAAAGGAAACGGTTTTTGGTAGTCCGCGCACTAATCGCGATATGAGTGTATTTTTAATGATTTTTACGAGTCAAGTAAAATCATGATTAAATTATACAGGTCTCCTTCATTTTTAACACGAGGTAACGTCACTAACGTTAATATAGTTTTGTCATGTATTGTTATGCGGGGTTGCAGCAGAGCATATTGAAGGATGATTTTATGTTTATTGTTAGGTGAGAAAAAAACCCTGGCACCCACAAAGTGTATAAATTTCCGTCATTACAAAATGCGTCGACTGACTCGGCCGAAAACCTGGAATAGGAGACCGGTGTTAATGGATCTCTAAATACTCGCTCCACATTAGCGTACGAATTGCGTATTTTTCGTAAAATCGAGGTGGAATACAGTGTCTTTTGTAAAATCGTGCAAATCGAGTCCATTTTTCGTAGAATCGCGACAGTTTTTAGGTGCATAGAGGGCACCCAAAAGGTCATGACTTTAGAGGGGAAAAAGGTTATAACGATGGAAGGCCAAGTTGAAAAATTGGAGGCAACTTTCTACATGCCTGAATTTTACTTGAAGACTCCACTGCAACTATTGAGTGGTTCTGTGCCCCAAGTCCCACATATTGGAGCTCCTCGTTTGTTTCATACTCATGCCGAATCACGTTCGTACTCATTATTCCATTCATTACTCATTACTCATCTACTCAATTACTCTATGGGAGAATGTCGTACTCGAATCGAATGACACCCCCCCCCCCCAATAATGAGAACTCTAGTTTAAGACAGAAGTTTTACGCCGTTGGAAAAATCGACAACACTCTATCATTACTCAGTTGGTAACGTCTTCGACTGAGCATGGTGACCATGAACTTAAGGAGCAGTGATGGCGATTTATCGCGATTTTGGCGACGTGATTTATTGCAATATTATCGGATAAACAATTGCGATTTCGTCACATAAATTTGCAACAAAATCGCGATTTTATCGACGGCGATTCGTCGGAATGTTATCAAACAAAAAATCGTCAAAAATAGAGATGAAATTTCGATTTCAGTAATCGCTTAAATGCTGATGATCCCAACGATTTTATCGCCAAAAAATCACAACTTAATTTCGCAATATCGCAATTTTCCCGTTGAAAAATGCTACTTAGGAAAGGACGTAATTAACAGGCTTTTAAAAATAGTGCAATTGAATCGGTCAGTTACAAAAGGGCTCAAGCGCCAAAAATGAGAATTAGAGAAAAATGGTAATAACCGTTTTAATTGACCCCTAATAAATCTCAGAGCTGTAAAATATTAAAGCGATGAATTGATTAATCACATTATTACTTAATCTGAAATTTAAAACGGGTTGGTTCATACAGTATCTACTGTTTCTTTCGTATTTTTATATCTGGCGCTTGAGCCCTTTTGTAACTGACCGATTCATAGAGCTTAAGCTTCACGCTTTGATATAGGGCAACGGTAACTGACGGGGGCGCTTTAAGCACTCGTAGGTATGAGCTTTATTTATTATTTTTTAACTAAGATGGCGTACTTTTTTTACCTGGTTACAGAGGAGATACGAGGTTCCATGGGAGAAGGTGCCCTTCGTGCCGCGACCTAGCCAGGTGCCGTTGCCCTACACAGTGTACGGACGCCGGTCTCCAACCGTGACCCGCACTACTAGAATCATTCGAGTCCCATCCTACACGCCCGTCGAAATGTACTCATTCCCTGTCACCGTTAGCACCTACAGACGCTACTACTAGACGACCACCTACCGCACCTCACCATAGCCTTCATGGAAAACAGCATCATCGCGGCATACATATGAGAACACTAAAAACGAAATAACACGATAATCAAATCGAGCGAAAAAATTAGGTCACTATGAAAAATGTGTGCATCCTGCAAAAAGGAACTACTAGCTGCTAAGATTTTGCGACTTCTGTTGTTTCCCAAGGAAAACTTAAAGATCTGTTTCCGGTCAATTTATTGTAACCCTCAGCAACATTGAGTGCTAGTAGCTTCTCATTTAAAAAATCACTTCTTTATCTTTATTACCTACGCATATTGCAAATTTTTTGTGTAGACACTATGAAAAAAAAAAGCTCTCAACCAGTTTCATCTAGAACACATGCTTAGTTTCATCGTTCGCTCCTCCTGTGAATAAAAAGAGAATGTAAATATTTTTCATAATTTTTGATAATTTATCTTATTTATTTATTTATTATAATTATTTATTATCTACTTGAAGTTCTTCAGAGCTTGGTGTAAAAATCATTTTATTACTGTCAGATCAATAAATATTCTGAAGAATAGAATATCGTACATATGTCTACTTACTTTTTCCTGAAATGCGTACCTGCATAGGTACCTCACACGCCTAGTTTGATCAAATTTCTTGACAAAGTACTCTCAGAATAGAATTAAAATAAAAAACTTCTTGATTACTGATTACATTCTTTTAAGTTTAAAAAATATGAGAAAAAAAAATCGCACACAACATTAGAACATTTTACCTTAGTTTGTCCGAAATATCTCCCTCCTCACTCCTCACTTGGGGTTAGTTCTATACAGCCCGTAGTACCTTATCGGGATAAAGGTTGCCAAAGCCATCAACCCTGGCGCGACCGATATCAGTATGATTTCATGCTATTATCAGTGTGTAAAATGGTATCAGTAATTACCGTGGATCGAGTTAATGAGAGAGGTCGGACATGAAATGAATAACTATAACTGCAAATTTTGATGTTTGTATAGTCACATTTTAAATTTTAAGAGATAGTCCCGGAAGAAAAGTTCACGAGAAAACCAATAGACCCACTTCTAGAATCTCAAAATTGTGTATAAACTGAGTTATAAGCTTTAAAAGTTTCCAAATTTTGCCCGACCTCTCCTATTGACTCGATCCACTGTGAGCATGCCGAGCTAATTTCTAAGTCGGTAGAGCATAATCTCTGGCTGGTTTGGCATTGAGTGGCCCATCATAAAGAATACAAAAATCAGATGAATTCGGCTGAACAGAGCTCTAGAATGCAGAAGAAATTCACGATTTAATTATTTTACTATCCCATTTAAAATTTTGCGGGAAACACAAAGGGACCACTGATTTTTTTCGAAACCATCGCCCAAACTTAAAGAAAAGCTTTAAAGTTTGAGGCCGCGACGGAGGAGATCGCCTACATTACGAGATGAAACCACTTCTATACCCAAACTCTATGCACAGACACCTATGCTGCCGTGCTAAGGAAGAACGCCGTATGAACATTCGAGAGTTGCCAAATCTCCTTCAATAAAATGTTTATTTATGAGGAACATTATGGAGATTTTTCCTTGAAATTTTCAGGATTTTTAGATGAGATTGGGAACAAAATTATCTGAAAAATTGGAAGGATAATATTAATAAGTTCACTAGGATATTCGTGTTTTATCAAAGGAAATTTGGCAACGCCTGAAGGTTCATACGGCGTCCTTCCTTAACACGGCAGTATGGAGCAAATAAATTACGATGGTGAAACGACCATTCGACGTTTTCGTTTGGTATGTTTCAAAATCTTGGCTCCCATTTTATTTTTTGAAAGGAGAAATAGTCAGCGCATCATTCCTTGAAGTTTTTTCAGAATTTTCTTCGTACAGAGAGGAAAAACTATGGAAGCTTCTAGATTTTGATGTTGAGTAGTTTTTCATTTAAAAAATAAAGTATAACAGGAAACCCTCAGTATCCCAAACCGAGATACGTGGTTTAGAAGCTTCACCGTCGCACAGTGGATCGAGTCAATAGGAGAGGTCGGACAAAATTTGGAAAGTTTAAAAGCTTATAACTCCGTTCATAGAGACTTTTGAGGTTCAAGAAGTTGTTCCACTGGTTTCCTCGTGAAATTTTCTTCTGGAAACACCCCTTGAAATTTTGAATGTGACGAAATAAATATCAAAATTTGCAGTTTCAGTCAAAAATGTCATGTCCGACCTCTCTGCTTGACTCAATCCAGTGTGCGTCGGTTGCTCTTTCACGCACGGACTTCGAGGCTACTATCACGGCAACCCTATTTATGTATTCGCTCCTCATCTGAGGATTAAGAGTTTAACTGGATGCATGGAATGATTTAATAATAATGCAATGACGTTATGACGAAAATGCATCCGCGATCTCCTCCATTCCAGCCTCTTTGAGAGCTTCGTATGATTTTAGGAGTTCGTTTCCGTTAAAATCAGCACCATCATCGTGTTTTCAAAGTAATTGAAGTATACGCACATCAAAAAGGCCCATGACATGTAAAGCTCAAGTATATAATCAGGTTAATCAAAAACGGATACAAAAAATAAATACGTTCTAATCGGTCCAGAGAGCTCCAGAGCACCACGGATTACTGGGCAACTCGTTAAGGAACTATGAGTCGCGCGAATTCAAAGTAGTTACTCAAAATTGCTGATATTAACACAGTATCTCTTAAATAGCAAAGCGATCGCTGTAAATATCAGTCTCGTAGCACAGTGGAACAAATTGTTTTTACACCATTTGATCGATAAATGTAGATTTTGAACGATCAAGAGAAAGCGTTCCACGGGTGAGAAAGGTACGCAATTCGTAAAACAAAAATTTCTTCAATTTATCTCAACTTTATTGCAAAAAAATTTAGCGAAGGGAGCCCTTTCAATAGTGAATAGATAGCACCCCTTAACACTCCTATGTAAAAGCAAGAATGTCACCATTTGAGTATGATCAATTTATTGCAACCTGCACTTCTTACTTGGGTAGTTCTGCTCTCGTCGCGAAAAGATGATGGAAATTAAGAGTGAATTAATCGACTTAGGGAAAAGATGAGTGCGATGAGCGTTAATTTAGGAATTCTCGGGTGAATTTGAAGGAAGTGGATATCACCAAAACGACTACCTAAGACATGACGCGGTGAGGATCGATCACATTTCGGTAAGTGAGTTGAACTAACACTAAGTATGTTGAAAATCGTATACATCGAACATACAGGGTGTTCCAGACCACCCGGACCAGGCTTTTTTCTCGGTTATTTTAGATCGGATGAAGCCGAGGACTGCGAGGTCGAATTGGGAATCGACTCTAAGGAATCCAAATTTCGTGGCAGCAAGGCCCTTTCCCCCTCCCCCACCCCGGTCTCCCCTTAAAGGGTAAACGGAGAGTCGTGACTTTCAGTGTAGGGATTTCCGTTAATATGAAATTATTTCAAGACTCTAGAAAGTGGAGGAAATTTGACCCCAAATTGGGCGACTTCTGCTCGAATTACTGGCCCTTGAACGTGGGGGACAGGACCCCCTTCCCCAGAATTCAATATCGTTAAATTGGCGTAGAGGTTCAGGAGAAAGATGTTAACCGAAGTCAT